AAAAAATGGGCAAAGGAGCTGAATAGACATTTCTCAAAGGAAGACATACAAATGGCTAACAAGTACCTGAAAAAATGCTCAACATTGCTAATAATCAGGGAAATGCAAATCAAATCCATCTCAAGATATCATCTCACCCCAATTAGACTAGGTAGCTATTATCGAAAAGGCCATGAATAACAAATGCTGGCAAGGATGCAGAGTAAAGGGAATAATGTTGATGGGACTGTAAATTAGTATAGCCATCATGAATGACAGTATGGAGGTTTCTGAAACAACTAAAGGTAGAACTACCATACAATCCAGCAATCACACTATCAGGTCTATACCCAAAGGAATGGAAAGCATTATGCTGAAGGGATACCTGCACTCCTAAGTTTACTGCGGCTCTTTTACAATAGCCAAGTTACGGAACCAACCTAAATGTCCATCAATGGACAACTGGATAAAGAATATGTGGTGCATATATACATGATGAAATGCTACTCAGCCATAAAAAAGAATGAAATTCTGCCATTTACAGCGACATGGATGAGCTTGGAGAAAACTATAAACGAAATAAGTCAGGTACAGAAAGACAAATACCACATGTCCTCACTCATAAGTGGGAAGGAAGGAAGGAAGAAGGGAAGGGAGGCAGGGAGAGAGGGAAAGAGCGATAAAGAAACAAACAACAATCAGTAATAAGCTGAACTTTCAGAAGGAGAGAACAGAACTGAGGTTACTAGAGGTGGGAAAGGGTGCGGGGGGGCCATCGGCAAGAAATCAGTTAACAGACACCAGGAATGATCATGTATCGTAATGATTAAATATGCTAATTACCCTGATTTAATCATCACATATTTCACACAAGTATTAACAGTCAATTCTGTACCCAACAAATATGTATAATCAATTGTTTCAATAAAACAATTATGTAAAATGCAAAAAAATAAATAAAAACCCTGGCACTTAGGACTCATAAATGCTAGCTATGAGTGTGCACACACATATGCATGCTCAAACTATATTTTACAGACTGAATCTCTTTATAAAGTTTTTGAACAAGTTCTTATTGGATTTAAATTTAACCTTTTACATTGACGTTCTCTTTTACTTTTCTCCAATGTTGGAAAAATCCTTACTTAACTACTTGTCCTTTTCATGGTAGTACCAAATTCATCCTGTGCTTAAGGACACAGTTTTATGTACCTGGTCTTCCATTCATTTATTGGGAAGTAAAGCACAGGTCTTTCCTGTCTGCAGTACCCCCACAGACTCAGCTATATCACCCAAGGGAAGAAGAGGCATTAATTATTTTTATATTCTCGGGTTCTGACCTGAACTTTTGCTTTAAAATTTTTCATATCATAACACTATTATACAAACATGAAAAACCTTATCTAAAACCCATCACTGCCAAAACCAGGACTGACAAGGAATCTCTGTGTTGTCAGTGACTAAAAAAGAAATATTGTATGAGTTCCGTGATTTCCCTTAGTGCTACTGGAGGACATAGAAATTAATGCCAGATAAGTAGTAATAATGATGAACAAACTTTTGTCCTTCTTTTACTTCTTCCTCTCTGGCAAGAATTATTTTATAACTAAATAACAAA